CTCTAATTTCCTGATATCAGCCTGAAGCAATATCAATTGCTCACACGTGGAAATAAAAGAGCCTCCAAGTGGTAATACCTAATCAAATTGGGCCAAAAATTATGAGGCCTCACAATACAATTTGAAATGTGTTTGGCTACAGTACAATTTGCTCGTGGCACAACTCCCACTTCTAAATAGTGGTACCAATTTTTAGTGTTGTGTTCGTCCTAGCACAACTCCCACTTCTAAATAGTGGTACCAATTTTTAGTGTTGTGTTCGTCCTAGCACAACTCCCACTTCTAAATAGTGGTACCAATTTTTAGTGTTGTGTTCGTCCTAGCACAACTCCCACTTCTAAATAGTGGTACCAATTTTTAGTGTTGTGTTCGTCCTAGCACAACTCCCACTTCTAAATAGTGGTACCAATTTTTAGTGTTGTGTTCGTCCTAGCACAACTCCCACTTCTAAATAGTGGTACCAATTTTTAGTGTTGTGTTCGTCCTAGCACAACTCCCACTTCTAAATAGTGGTACCAATTTTTAGTGTTGTGTTCGTCCTAGCACAACTCCCACTTCTAAATAGTGGTACCAATTTTTAGTGTTGTGTTCGTCCTAGCACAACTCCCACTTCTAAATAGTGGTACCAATTTTTAGTGTTGTGTTCGTCCTAGCACAACTCCCACTTCTAAATAGTGGTACCAATTTTTAGTGTTGTGTTCGTCCTAGCACAACTCCCACTTCTAAATAGTGGTACCAATTTTTAGTGTTGTGTTCGTCCTAGCACAACTCCCACTTCTAAATAAGGAGAATATAAAATAAAAAATGTTATAATGCTCAATATTGTTCTAATTTGCACCAGGTGGCTAAAACAAATAAAAATGAAGTAGCTCTCTTTGGTCTAAATCAGTTTTGCAAGCTCTCATTTTAATAATTAATAGTGTCGTGATACAGTAACATGTTTATAATAGGCAGATATAATGTTCTGAATTAGGATTTAGTTTTCTCTTCCACGAAGACGTAAATTAAGTACCACGAAGTTGATGATAAACTTATTTGAATCTCGAAATTTGAAATGTTCCACATATATCCAGCCTTCTTCTTTACTTGCTTAGCTTGAAGATACATGGGCAAATTGGATTATCAAATTAAACATATGCATAAACTTCGACGAAAAAAAATTGAAAGTGGAAAGAACCCGTAAAATCAAAACACATACAAATATGTATGTAGAAAATCCAAGTATCCAAACGAACCGAAAGCTGATACAAATGTCCATCAAATTCCATTAGCAATACCTGCATGTATTAATTAAGCAATGAAGAAAGAAGAATTCATCAGAATTGAGGCAAATAAGAAAGAAAATCAGGAGTTAAATAAATCCCAAAAATATAATTAGGCAAAAATGTAAGATCGATTGCAATTTCATTCCAGCCCTCTCATTCCTTACCTCACAATATGTGAACTCCAAAATAATTTATGTGCATTTGTTGAACTTTGAATCCCTTAAGTCATCTACAAAATATATGATGATTGAATGAATTCTTAGAAACCCAAGTTGAAAAATTAGGTTAAAGTGAAATAAATTTCTTTAGGAGTTATATTTATTTCATTAATGTAGAGAATTAATAAAAAAGAATAAAACAAAGAGAGAATAAAAGGGAAGAATGAAGAGTAGAAAAAGAAGAAGATAACAAGATACAGAGAGGGAGAAACTGAGGTGAGAAAAGAAGAAAAGTAATTATAAATTGGGAAAAGGAAGGTACACGTGGGTTGTTGTATGGATAGAAAGGACACGTATAATAGACGTGTCTATTTTTGTTAATGTGCCATAATTAATTTTATTGGGAAAAGGAAGGTACGCGTGGGTTGTTGTATGAATAGAAAGGACACGTATAATAGACGTCTCTATTTTTGTTAATGTGCCATAATTAATTTTATTGGGAAAAGGAAGGTACGCGTGGGTTGTTGTATGAATAGAAAGGACACGTATAATAGACGTCTCTATTTTTGTTAATGTGCCATAATTAATTTTATTGGGAAAAGGAAGGTACGCGTGGGTTGTTGTATGAATAGAAAGGACACGTATAATAGACGTCTCTATTTAGAAATAAGTAAAGAATATCACTTCGAAATTACCAAGGGTCAACCTTACTCTTGAAGGAACAAGATGAAGCCAAACAAGTTTTAGCTTCAACTAATTTAGGAGAAGAAGTATTTGTGGAGTCTCAGATTTTACTAAGGAGATTCAACTTTTATACAAATATATACATGATTTGTGTATTCATAAGGAACATAAGTTTCTTAAGAATGAGGAAAAAAGACTCATGCTCGATATGAAAAAATTATTCGTATTCTATAGGAGGATTTTATCGAAACATAGCTAGTTTCTACTATTATTGATTTATAAATCTATGATTTGTTTATTTGGTAAGATTATATAAGAGTAGGAGAAGTTTTGATAATTTTCACATACAAAATCTAGAATTTTCTTGACTATTAAAAGATTTAAAGATTTCAAATTATAATTAGACGTCATGTCCATGTAAATCCTTACTATAACTCTAATGTTTTTCAGATATTTGCACGACCTTTTTTGCTGTAATATTATTGAATATAGAAAAAATCAGAGCAGATTTAAATCTGTTATTTAGGAAAAAATTAAAATAGAGAGAAAGTGAAAATCAAGCCTTGTTTTGCAATAATTTTTTTTTTGTTCTGGCACATTTTATTGCAATATTTTTTTTTGTTTTTGGTACATTCTGTTGCATTAATTAGGCGGTAGATGGATTCTGGCCATAATTTCAAATTTAAAAGACTGTTTTTGTTGTTTTGCATTTTGTGTGTCCTGACTTCTGCCAATGTTTTGTTCATAAATCTTTTTATCTGCCCTTCACAAAACTTCCCCTCAAGGGAAAGATATTTTATTAATATTGTTGGGTTCTGAAGGGTGATTAGGGCGTCATGCGGAAGCTTGCAATTTGCAAATCATATGGTTGATAAATCAGATAAGAAAAACTTATACTAAAAATCAAAATATTATTATATCAAAACTAATATAAAGAAAAACATTGAAACTTTAGAGAGAATAAATCTCCCCATAAACAAGACTCTTAAACGACTACATTGCGGATGTTATTGTTTTGTGTTAGAAGAAACAAACCTATATTTATAGAGTCCTAAAACTTTTCCTACTAGAAAAGGAGTCCTAAAAGGAGAGAATAAACCAAATATAAAATAATATTATATTTTCCTTTCAAGAAAAGTAAAAACATTTATGATAATATTTTGTTTTTTCTTTAAGGAAAAATAAATCTTAAATTATGGTAAGAAAATCAGGGCAAAACCCTAGCAAATCTCCCTTTTTGGCTGGATTTTCTTGACAAAACTTGATCTGTCTTCTTCATTGCATGATAATCTTGTTCTTCAATATCTTCATGTATCGCTGCTGCTTACCATAATTTAAAATTGATATGGATTAAAAATTGGAGCCCTGTGTTAAAAGTTATGAACAGGTTTCTTGAAAGTTTCACTCATGAGGGGGTGATCCGATTTGGTAAATTTGAAAAACTTAGTCCTTGATATTATAACACCTACAAATGAATACGCATCACTAAGCATACAAAAATTAGCCTGAAATTTTCAGTCCTAGATATATGAGGTCAAGAACACACGTCTTAATTTATTTTTTATTTGAATATTTACGAACAAAATAACGTGTAATAAATATTGATCTGAATGATTTAGTATGTTTGCAAGCATGTCAGGAAGCTCTAGCCTCAACTTCGAGACGGATACTCGTATGAATATATTAAGCAAACATTCAAATCAAAATCGAAGTAAACTTGAAACTCAAGAAAATACTATGTCGTTGTTATATTGTCATTATATTATTTGAAATCAGAATGTCTCAAAAAATGAATAAAGTAAACTATTAATAGGTTATTGTAACCAATAAAAAAATTCCACCATAATCCTAGTACGAAAGTAACGGTTTTGTATGTGGATATACCATCAAATATTTATGTCATGCTCAAATGGCCAAACACATATGCAGATTCTTAAATTTTATTTTGGCACTTTAACTCAATCCTGTTTCATTTTAACTCTTAACTCCAATTTTTATGTTCTATTTAGGCACTTCTAAGTGATGTGGCAGAGTGTGTGCATCACACTTTCTCTAAGAGAGTGAAAAACCAAAAAAAGTATTTTTTTAAAAATAATAAAAGATTAACCTTTCAACTCCATTTTTTTTAATGTACCATTTAAATACAAAATATTAATTTTATGATTTCTTTATTTCTATATATGCTCTTCAACTGCAAATTTGTATTTTAAAAATCGGCGTTCATCGTTAGTTATTGTAAAAAATTAAAATTGACGGATGATCATTGATTTTTTTTTTTAAAAGTAACAATTTCTTTTTGAGAGTTTTCCTGTATTTTTGCGTGAAAAATAACCGACGAAGTGCGTCGATTTTCTTTCTTAAGAAAATCAATGATAGCCTAATGAAGTCTATCGAGTTTCAACATTTTTTATAGTCTTATTAATTAGCAATGAACATGAGTTATTTTTTTACTTGTATTTAGTTGAATGAAAAATTAGAAAGATGGTATTTGAGTTGGTCCAAATAGACTAGATATGGAAAAAAAAATATGTGGTGTTATTTAATTTAATTAATTATTTTAAAAAGAAAACCAACACACTTTTGTCGATTATTTTTTCACACAATAATGTACAAAAACTCTATAAAAAATATTTTAAAAAAAATTTGATGTTCCTCCATTATTTTATTTTATTTTTTAAAAAAAAGATATGACGTTGATTTTTAAAATGAAAAAGTGGAAATTAAGAACATAAATAAAAAAAATGAAGAAATCATAAATTTAGTATTTTCTATTTAAATAGTACTATATAAAATAGAGGTGAAGGATTTAAATGGAACAAGGCTAAGTTAGCATGTCAAAATGAAAAATGGGGGCAAGTTAGAGGAGTTGTGTATGTGTTTTTAATTGGCTTTTGTGTCATGTCAACACACATCCCACTTTGTTGATTCTTTGGAAAAAAGTGCCTAAATAGAACATAAAAATTGGAGTGGAACAAGCTTGAGTTGGAGTGACAAAATGAAATTTAGGTACAAATTTAAGAGTCTGCATATATATTTGACCGCTCAAATCTATACAAGTTTGTCTCGGCAAATGTACCCTTGCCACCTTGTCTTTTGTCATTTCTTCCATGTCATCAAGGGCATAAACGCTTTCCTCTATACCTTTTTCGAAGGCTACATTCCTAAAAGGATTAATATCTTGAGTCTTCGTATATTCTTCGGACATCGTCTCCATGCATCCATCTCTTACTAAACCATGTGACATAAGCAAGTTTTCTTTAAGAGCAAATTCATCGGCGATTCTTTAAAGTTGGCACTAAATTTCATTTAGACATCTTAATTGGGTGATATTTATTTTGGACACCTTATATATGGTTCCGCTATGTCATTTTGACATTTATTTGACAATAAGCAAAAAACTGAAGGAGAATGTAATACACTCGTTGATGACGTGACAAACAACCAATTAAATGATTACATGTGTAATTTTAAGTTAAAAATTATTTTAAAATTTATTTAGTAAATAAAATAAAAATATTATTCTAAAAAAATCAATTTAAACCTCCTCCCTCCCAGAAGGTAGTTGTCTTCTCTACTACACCCAATTTTTTTTTTTTTTATCAACTTTTTAAATTGTTTCGGATTTTTTATTTTTTTAGTGTTGTTTTGTGGGGAAAACAGAGGGTGAGGAAGAAAGAAAGAGAATAAATATGAAATATGAGTGTTAGTATCCATTTTTCCGGTAAAAAAGGTGGAGAGGGGTGATTGTAGATTTAGAAAAGTAATACAATGAAGAAGAAAAATAATGACTTGAAAATAGATTTGAATAAAAAATTCGACCTCCATTGAAGGAGTTTAAGCTTCAAAAAATAGTGGGAGGTGGTAGCTTGAAAAATGGAGAAGAAGAAGATAAAATAAAATTAAAAAATAGCTAAATTGAGGGTGTGTTTAGTATGAAGGAAAATGTTTTCCTGGAAAACAAGTTGATTTTTGACTTATTTTCTCATGTTTGGTTGGTGAGTAGAAAATATTTTCCGAAAAAGATTTTTAGTGTTTGATTTATGAATGAATAAATATTTTTGAGAAATATCTTTTATTTTTACTAGAGTAGAAAATAATTTTTTAAATTGAAAATATTTTTTAAAAACAA